TATTAAAATATCAATTCATGAATCCCACAACCTCCAACTAAGCCTTGATGCTCTTCAATCACTTAGTTGACCTAAGGTTGACCTAGGATTGACCCAGATGAAACCCTAGTTGACTGTACTTCAACTGTGGCTCTGGTACTTGAATCAATGACTTGTCTCATCTTCAACATGACCCTCTAGGCATCTAATAAGCTTTTTACACATTCCATACCTTCAATTCATAGCTCATACCCCCATTGATGACCCTCAATACACCTTAGATTAGGAGAAAAGTCCACTGGTTGACCCTCAAACTTCTCAAAGCTTCAAACATTTCTTTAATGACTGGGATGGTCTTAAGCTTGAATAAACCCTTGATGTGCTTATTTAGATAAGAATGGCACTTGATCCCTTGTTGGATGCCTTTCTATGTTATGTTATGCAAATGATTAGATTATGTACATGATTTAATATGCAAATGATAATGCAATTAAAACATAAACCAGGTGAAATAGGTTGAGCAAATTTTAGGGTGCAACAAAAACCTCATTACTACATTTAAAATTCCATCAATTTGCAGCAACTACTCTGAGCCTATAAAAGGAGAAGTCATTAGATTAAAAAAAAAGGGCAACAGACGGAGAAGAATATAACATACACAAAATAGAAAGAAACTCAGAAGAGAGTTCACACACCAAAATCAACACAAAAGTAAAAATCATCAGAGCATCATATACACAACATAATACATACACACAGAAGAGAGAGGATCATCATATTACAAATAAGAATAAAAAAGGAACACACAGAGCAGTGTCGCCATATATCACACAATAGACTAAATTTTCAAGAAGAAGATGAAGAGTTTCGTGAAGAAAGGGTGATCCAGATCACTTATCTTTGAAGATTGATCTCCAATATCCTAGTGTCCTCTTCATCACGCCCCAGAACCCTCCAACGAGCCACCACTTTCAGGTAACGGCTTTCTACCTTCGTTGTTGGTCCGATATCTTACTTAATACATTTGATTGAACTTGTGATTTCTGTGAATCCCTACGACTTGTGTCTATTTCTGTTTTATTTTGGATTAGGGTTTGTGTCGTTCTAGATTTGGGACTTCAGGGTTTTTTTTTCTGCTTTGTTTTTTTTTTTGCTTTGCAATTTTAAGGGAATGCATCACTCCGAATTAATGGAAGTTTCAAGTAATCTAGGATGAGGACGATGAAACACGGGGGCATACAGATGTTCATGGCTTTTTGCGTTTGGAAATGAAGAAGAAGCTTGGACGCGACGAGAATGAGAGCATAACGATTTAGGTTTTTGCTGTTAGTATTTCTTTGGTTTTGTTTTGTGACCATGCTCTCGTTCACGCTCTCCCACGGTAGGCCCTCTTTGGGTTTTGAGTCAACCATTTGATTCCTCTAGATCAACAGCAGTTTGGGCTTTGACCAAGAGTCCATGATGGACCGTCCATTAAGACCATTGTGCCAGATCTCTCTCTTTTTTCGTTTTTTTAATCTATTTTTTAAAAAAAGGAAAGTTCAAAATATAAAATATAAAGAAAACTTTACTTATTAATGAATTTTTTCAATCTAATTTGTTAATTACTTCAATCAATTTATTTAACTCTTAGAATTTCCTTCTAAAAGAAAAGGGGGGCTATTTATCTTTTTCATCATTATCACCAGTTTATTTAATAATACTTGTGTTAGCATAATATTGATTGTTTGCCCGTGACCCTTCCACATAGCTAGAAGACTTTACTCATGATTTATATCAAGTGCTCGTGTACCTTTATGAGCCTTTTTCTTACTTCATTTTATATGTGTTTGATCCAATATATCATATTATATCTCACTTTATAAGTTGGTTACACTATTTGCTTTGTATTGAATATTCAATCATAAGTATCAGTTGTCATGCAAATTGCTTCTATCTATTTTCCTTTTAATAACATGATTGTATTCATCCACGTCCAAGGGAAGAACTTGTGTGCGACTTGTTTAAGTTATACACACTGCATTATGCATCAGCATCATTTGCCCCCCCCCCCCCCCCACCACCACTCGATCCTTGACTTGTCAGGTTGATCAGCTTGGATCCTTACACCTTAAGATAGGATAGGTTTCCTTGTTATCTCTTTCAACTTAGACAAATCTTATAATACAATTCAATCTTATTCTCCCCACAAGAGAATTAGACGTGATTCATCTTAATAGTTGAGATATAATTCTCCTACCCTATAACATAATCGAGAGATGTAGAATCTTGTTCGCTTGAGAAAGGGATGTGGCATACTCGTCGATAAATTCGAGTGTTGAGCCCTTCTCTCAATGTGACACAAAGACCATCTCCTACAAGTTTTGGTGGTTAAGTCGAGTATTCTCCCTTAAGATGACGACTCGTTTTTTCTCCTAGAATCAATCAACATACCTTCTCCCCTTGGAACCTTGACCATAGTCAAGAAGTTCGTCAATCCCTTTAGGGGAACTATGAATACTCTGATTCCATTCCGTCGGGATACGTAGGCACAAGAAGCGACTTCTTGGCGAATATACTTAGAAATAAACCCCTAGGTCTCTTACCCTTAGCAAACAACAATAACACAATAAAACAAGAAGTTCCTGTAGAGTACTACAAATGCTTAGGATGCGAACACTTTCCCTTGGTTTAACCAACCCCCGAACCTTAGACTCTCTAACTTTGTATTTGCATTGCATACTTGTGGCTTATTCTATCTTTTTCCCTTTCCTTGGACAAATTAAAGACCGATGGTGAAAAATGAATTAAGATTCAAGTTAATCAATAACTTGATATCCAATTCTCACCGCGACAGTGGGGATTGGATATTACCTCCCTGGAAGCAAGATTTGATCTTGTCGGCAATCTATTCAGTATCAAACACCACGCGAACAACTTTACCTTCTGCAAAATCGAAGAATGCCACAATATATCTAGAGATGCCATAGATATAATGTCCATCTCATCAACATTATTATGTTTAAGAGCCTGTAAGTAGGAAGACTTGACAGAAAAATAATTATTGGATGTTCGTGCCCACAAGAACATGTCTTGCTGGCCTGATGAAGGTATCTGCACTGCTGCAGTTCACTAAGTTGTTGCGTAATCACCTCCTCAACATTCTGATTTTCGAAACCTACATTCCAAGCCTAGTCGGCCTCGTTCCACTGGCCATGGTATACGACTGATCCCTTCTTGAGGTTTGATATCTGATATAATTCTGAATAACTAAGGCACAGAGGTACAAAATCAATCCACTTAGAATGCCAAAACAAAATGCGTGTTCCATTTCCTAATTTGCAGTTGATTTGGTTCAAAAAAGAGTCAACGTTGGTTGAGTTCCCTAACTTGACCAGATTTCTCCACCACAAGGATTGGCATTTGACCTGATTGTTTACCTGCAAAAGAAAAAAAATCGCATCACAGCAACTGTATTTATGTTCTAATATAGGTTTCTAAATGGCCCCTACAGCGTGAATAATTCTCCAAATCCATTTTCAAATAAGAGCGTCATTGAACATAGATAAATCTTTAATCCCTAAACCTCTCATTTCCTTGGTCTTGCATATTTTACTTTAACTAATCCAATTCATTGAAGGTTTATCAGCACAACCAGTCCATAGGAAGCGTCACTGTATCAACTTCAACTTCATTAACACTCCGACTGGAGCTTTAAAAAAATGATAGATGATGAATTAACATGCTTGTTAGAACAAAATTAATGAGCATTACACGACCACCTATTGATAAAAGTTTTCCTTGCTACATTGATAACCAAGACTTAAAGCATTCCAAATCTGGTTTCCAAAAACCATATCTTCTATGGTTCCCTCCCACCTACAGGCCCAAAAAGAGGAATAGAATACGACCATATTTGCAAGCCAGGAACTGAGATGTTACCAACAAGAAATTCTCATCTACCCCAACACCAAATATACAACTTTTTAAGAATTTAATGCGTAAACCTAATATTAATTCAAAAGCCCTCAGTATTGCCTTGATTCCCCAAAGATTTTCCTAGTCAGCCTCACAAAATAGTATAGTATCATCTGCAAATTGTATGATACTCACCTCAACCTGATCAGCAATTGAAATTCCACTAAATAAACCAACAGTTGTAGCCCTCCTCACTAGACATGCCAATCCCTCAACCAGAATCGTAAAAAGGTAAGGTAACAAGGAATCACCTTGCCTTAACCCTTCTGTGCCTTGAAATTCTGTTGTGGTACCTCCATTGACAAGCACTGAGAAAAAGTTTTTGAGCACCCCTCCACGAATCCATACCACCCACTTGGTTCCAAAGTTCATTGCTACTAGCATATCCACCAAGAAGTCCCACTCCACATAGTCATACGCCTGTGCAAAGTCTACCTTGAACATTAACCATGGATGATTCCTCCTCTTTGCAAGATCAACTATCTCATTCATGACCAACATTCCATCTAAAAGTTGTCTCCCTGGTATGAAAGTCGTTTGGCATTTAAAGATGAGTTTCCCAATCATCTTACTCAACCTCGATGCCAACATCTTTGAGATAATATTGTAAATGTTTCCTACAAGGCTAATTGGACGAAGTTCACCAATACTTTGAGGGTTTACAGACTTGGGGATAAGTGCAATAAAAGAAGACAATAAAGCTTTAGGTCGTGTTGTTGTTGCATAAAACTCTTGAATGCATTCCATCACATCGGGTCCTACTATGCTCAAACATCTTTTAAAGATGTCCAAGTTAAAACCGTCAGGACCAGAGCTTTTATGATCATCACCACAACAAACAACTTCAAAAAATTCTTCACTGCTAAACTCCTCCTGCAACCAATCTTTATCCTCATCGGATAACTTAGGAAAATCTCCAAGATTCATTGTCGGGATTCTACTTGTATCCTTCTTAAACCTTGATGCAAAAGCTTCTTTAATGGCACCCTTAACTGCTTCAACCTCTTCTACACACACTGGCCCTACCTTAAGAGAAGAAATGTGGTTACTCCTTAATCTTGTTTTCATAACAGCATGAAAAACCTTGAGTTGGCATCTCCCTCCTTGATCCATCTAGATCTTGACTTTTGCCAAATCATGCTCTCCTTAACTCCCAGGTTACTCCAAATATATGAAATTGCTTTTTTTCTTAAGAGTATCTGATCCCCTTGCAACGCATCGTCATGCTCCGGCCAATTAACTTCAATGTCATTTAAGACCCTCACACCAGCCGCTATATTCAGGTCCACCCAACCAAAGACATTCTTATTCCACCAACGGATTTTCTGTCTAAGGTATCTGAGTTTCTGAACCAACTGAATACCCTTAACTCTTAACCCCCTTACCAGAACTCCAAGACTCATTTACAAACTTAAGGAAACCTGGATGGTCAAACCAGTATGAAAATACTTTAAATGCTTTCGAGCCCCCGTGTTTATGGTTGAACTTCAGCCATATTGTCCTATGGTCTGAAATATCTCGCACACCTACATGTTAAGCCACCTCCTTCCACTTATGAATCAAACCTTCAGTTAAAAGAAAATGGTCTAGCCTACTACGATAACCACCTCCTGAATTACACCATGTAAATTTGTTGCCAACAGCAGGAGGATCAATGAAGTCCATTGCCTCAATAAAAGCTGAGAAATCATTTTTTCCACCACATAATCAAACCTATTACCCCTCCTTTCTTCCTTCAACCTGACTGCATTGAAGTCACGACCTAATAGCCATCCTCTTTATGGAAAGCTAGTCTTCAACTTAATCAATTCAGTCCACAATCTCCTCTTCTCTACCAATCTAAAGGGTGAGTAGATATTCACAAAATAACATATTGAGTCCTTCCATTTGCACACAACACCCAAAAATCCAATTCCTATAAAATTGCTTTCCACAAAAATATTCCTTTTATTCCAAACAGATAAAATCCCTTCTGACATCCCGTTGGAATTAATAGCAAACCAACCACAATTTTCATTTCCCCAAAGATTCCTCACCATATGTTCTTCCATGTTATGTATTTTTAGTTTCCTGAAAAAAAACAGAAGTCAACTTTACCTTCTGTTATCATATGACAGATTCTTCACTTTTTGATGGAAGATCCACACCCTCTGATATTAAATGACAGAATATTCATGAAACCAAAAATTGGTTCTCCTTCCTAGCTTCAAAACACATTTTATCCCTTCCTTCAATTTCTCTCACTACTCCTTCAAATAAATCCTCATCTTCATCTCCTTTTACACCTATTTCTTTTATCATTTGCCATACCCTAGATGACACATCCTCCATAGACTTCTTGATTCACGTATTTCCTTTGATCATGTCTTTATCACTTAAAGATTCACATCAAAGTACATAACCACTAGTAAAACTAGAGCTATTTTCACTACTTACTGCTTCAAGATTGGTTTGTGTACTAACCTATGCCCCTGCTACCCGATCTCCAACCTTCTTGCTGCTCGCATTGATTAGAGCTGAGAAATAAGATGGAGCAAAGGGGATTTTGATGCTTTCGTAGATATCCTTCAAAGGTTTTGTTCTTTTTCCCTTAGACCCCAAAACCATTATGTCTGACCCAGAAGGATAACATTCAATTGGATCTTCCCTTGAATTTTCTCTTAACGGGATTAATACCACCAGGCCCATATCAATAGGGCGAAAACTAGGTCCACAACCAGACTCCAACACTTGGTTATTCTTGTTAACCACAACTAGTTCCTTTTCCAAAATATATTTACTCTGCACAGGGGACCCACACACTGCATTTGCACGATCTTTTCACCTACCAGATCTTTTAAATTTTCATGATTACGAACCTCATTTTCCTTCTCACTGTATGCCTTACCCTTCCCTATATTCCTAGTCTGATGCACCTGTTCCCTATGTTTTTCATGATGACTGCTAGTCTATAAGCCTACCACATTTCTGTTATCTTGGCTTTCCTGTCTAGACAAAGCATCTTCATCTTCTACCTCTAGAGAAGCAGTTTCAGAGACTCCATGATCTTCATCTGAATTATTTTTATCTTCATCACCAGAACGACTACGTTCGTCTTCCTCCATATGAATGTTCATTTGATTCTGCCCATGGAAATCCTCCAGCAACTTAATACGATAGATAATGTTATTGATTTCTATGTTAAACACCTCGTTGAGATCAATGGCAAACTTCATTTTAATAAGGATTCTTGCAACGTCAAAACGCTTGTACTTTTCTGTATCCATATCAGATGAAATGTATTCACCAACTCTCCCACACAAGAACTTGAAAAACTTAGGATTCATGTATAACATGGTAATACATAGCATTTAAACCATATCAACCTTTCACTACTCACATCCTTAGGAGACCATGGATGGATATTGTTAAACCACTTTTCAACCCACTCCCCATCCTTCCTAACTAATTTTGCTATGTCCCCAAGGTTACTTTCTTCTAATAAACACAGATTGGCCCCTAAAGGGGTTAAAATATCCCTCCACATTCAAGGATTCTTGTATATTATACGTATTACCAGTTTTGCTTACAACCCTAACAAAAGCTTTCTCAAAACGATCCATTTCAGCTTCATTGATTTTGAATTGAAGATGGGTAAAACATGGCTTTTCCTCAACAAACGATCTCAGATTCTGTTCGCCCATTACGTTAGCATGCGTTCTACCATTGATGTCATATGTCCTTTGTTTCCCTTCAAACCTTGCTCCTAGAGGCTTGATAGGTAGATTAACTACAGGATGATTCATAATAACCCTTATGTCGAACTTTGGTAGGTTGACAAACATCTTTTTGTCATTAATTTGGGTATTGTCCAATCTGGCAGTCATGATTCTCACGTTTTCTACCTTTCTAAATCTTGCAAAGCCAAATATTTTCCCTATAATGTCTCTTCTACCCGACAGGAAAACTTCCCAAACCAATATGTATTCTTTAAACACCTCAAACATCTCTTTAGCTTCATCCTCTTCAGGGAACTCCGTGAAGAAGAAAGAAGTGATTTCTTCATTTGCCTCCAATGCCTTTCCTCTTCTATCCATCCAAGATGAACTCTTGAGTTTCAGATTACCCCTACTTCTATGCGTCACTTCAACTAATCTATTCTCATCACTCCTCATAGCTCTCTTAAAACCTCTTGATATTCTAAACTCCAAAGTACAAAGTACATAATACACACAGATCAAACCTCTGCAGAATACACAAAGCATGTTTACCCTATGCCAAGGTCCCTATACCTAAGTATAGGAATTTAAACCGAAGACACAGAGTTCACATGACTAAAGCGAATTTGTTTTAGTTTAATGCTTGTTTACAACCCATATTGTTTCCTGTTCTTTACTTGGTCATATTGTGGTAATGCTTGATTTGCAGGCTGAGCAAAAGGCAATTCACATGCAAAAAAAATCGTCCTCTAAGAAAATCTACTTGTCTTTGATTTTACAACTTCATAAACAATCCTTTCTATGGTTTTTTTATGTTGCATTTATTTTATGGAAGTAAATTACAAAGAAGTTTCTCACTCTACTCATTAAATGAACAACAAAGATTTACTTAATGACACGCTTATATTTTTTCTCGGTTATTACTTAAAATTGAGGTAAAGTGTATTTCTTATTAAATAAAAAATATGTTTCATCCTAAACGCCACATACCTCTCTGTTTCTATAAAAACTCGAGTGGAAAAAAACTTTTTTATTTAAAAAATTATAGTGTGTACACATAGTATTAAAATAAATTGTTTAAATAAATACTGATTTTGACAATGGATTCTTAGAAAACGACAATCAACAAATTTTTTCAAATTTCTGATAAGTTATCTGTTCTAGAGAGAACAAGATGATTGTGTTTATGAGTAAATTTCTCAACGCTATCAGCTGTGGAAAACAATAAATTTCTTAATAGTTTCTTTGATTGACAACATAGAAAGGTTATTCAAAAAATAAAACAACAATATAAGACTTTTGGATGGATTGTATGTGCAGAAAAAATATTTTGTTCAAAATAGAAGGACATTGAAAATTTTTTATGTCTTACAATTCATCTCAAAGAATGGTGTGTACAAGTATGAAGCAACTGCATATAAGTTAAGTTTAGGGTAAAATTTAATTAAAAAGTTTTTTTATAGCAAAATCTAATAATCTAATCTCTCAGGTATTAAATATTAATCGAATAAATAGATCATTAATTTTAAAAAAAAAACATCAATTTTAAAAAAATAAAAATAAAAATTGATATTATTACTAAGATTCGAAATATATCATAAATTATTTTTTTCTCAATTATATTTAAAATTGTAAGTTTTCAAGGCCCTTAATTTTGAAATTGGTCTCAAGCTTAGATTTAAAACTTTAGATTTCGTCAATATCATTTCTTAATATGGTAAGACCATTAACATAAATGAGCATAATTGTAATTTTTTTCATTAACAAACTTGGTAAAAAGAGAGTGGTCTCAATGAGATTTCTTCACGTCCAGCACAATTAGTTTCCATCATAATAATGTCTGGATCTAAAATTCATTACCATGACTATAGTCGATGGCTGTCCCTTCCAATCATTCATTAAATTTCTTCCAATTTTAATTTTTGCCGACTTAACTATACGAGTTCTTGTGACATTGAAGTTTTGTTTTATGAGTTGATTGATAAGCTAATTAATAATTTATAATTTATAGTTTATGACTGATGATTGATCGTTTATAATTTATAATTGATAATTAATGACTAATAGTTGATAGGTTAATTGAAGTATTCGATAAAATTAACTTATAAATATAAAATAACATAAAAGATATTTAATATATAATCATTTTATTTTAAATTAAATTAAATTTTAAATAATAAAGATGGATTTTTATTTAAATAATAAAGATAAAAGTGAAAAAAAAAACAATAAACTATAAGCTATAAATAAAAATGCTATTTTAAGCGTCTAAAAAATAAACTATAAATTAATAAAATAAATTATAAATTTATTATAAAAAAATCGTTATTAAACAGATCTAAATTATCATATAAGCTTATATAAACTTATAAATTATAAGTTATAAACTATTTTATAACCTCAAAAATATGTCTTATCAAGCCTGAATATACATAATTTTCTCTTTAAATTTAAGGGCAACCTAAAATGTATTATGATCTTCCTAAGTATCATTCTTCGGTCCTAAAATCTAAACATCATAAATAATATTTACATTAAATAATATTTACATTAAAGTTTCATTAAAGTTTAACGTGTAAGACTCTTCTAGCCCCATAATTCTATCAAAAATCGTTTTATCGAAAATTTGTTTAATTTGCTCCATATCATATCCAATTACATTTGAAATATCATTGATAATATTATTCTTAATTAATAAATTTCTC